ATTATTATTATTATTATTGTTGCAAGATTCTAGCAGCAAGGACACATGAGTTGGCGTCATTGTTAAAAGGAATTGATAAGCTTGGAGACTCTAGAGATTCTGACTGATTGGACAATTTGGAACCCGTTCTCAATTCCCATCCTTAAATATATATTAAAGAAAGTAGGTCATTTTTATGAAAACACATTTTTGTCATATTTGCTGAACTATATCCTGACAGTAGCATACAAGACAAATAATCTGTGAAAAGATCCGGTTCCTCTGGCTCCTCCTAGTGCTCCTAATGACATTTGCAAGAATCCGCAACAACCAATCAGAGCAGGGAAAGATAATTGATTGTTGATTGTCATGACAGTGGTTGTTGATTATTGTTGATATTTTACATGAAGCATCTTGCCTCCATTTCAAATGTTAAACCAAACCTCATTTATTAAAGTTCGTTAGACATTAGTCCAAAACCTTGACGCTTTAGTTTATTATTTTTGCTAATTATTTATTTGCTGAAGCAAGTTGTTCTTGAGGTGTTTACATCATCAAGCTACAGTTTCTCTGAACATTGCTCTCTTGCCACAGTGACACTTGTAGCAAAAAATGCTGTTGTTCCTTCAGGTCGTTCAGGCCTTGGAAAATGTGGACAGGATTTTGGGCATGCTGATGGATGGCCTGTTACAGAGAGACCTGCAGCACTGTGTCAACATTATAATCATATCAGACCACGGTGAGATAACCACACAGTCTCCACACAGCTGTGATACACTTTACTACGTGTAATTTTACAGAATAAAGTCACCAAGACAAACAAATTCTTCTCAAACTCCTTTGAAGCAGTTCAGAGGATTTTCTTTTTCCATTTCTGTAGCTTTTTTTTGTCTTTTTCTTTGTCTTTTATTTAAAGCCCTGCATTTGCTTACAAATAAACTTGGCACATCCTTCCTAAAGCTCAGTGGTTTCACCGTAGTAAGACATGCACAGTTTTAGACCCTGTGTGCCACTGAGGGGGACTTTAGAGGCTCAGTGTCATCTTCAAATGTTTGACTTGGTTGAGTCACTGCACCTGTTGCAGGAGAAATCTACAGGTACATGAGAGAAATCTGATGAAAAATTAGTCTGTTAGGTGGAAGTAAACTGGGAAAAAACATTCTCAGCTGTATGTTAGGTGGATATTTTGTGACTACAAGTTCGCCTGGACATCTGGAGGCCATATGTTTAGTCTTGTAATTAAGTATATTAAAGATCAATGCGCCGGCGTAAATGTGGCTCAGGGCGGTGCCTAGCCATCATCAAAGACATCATTTCCAAGAGAAAATATGAATTTTGACGTACTGGACTAGTTATTAACCTGCAGCTAGTCATGAAGGACAAGAGACCAGAAAGATTCACCAGTGTTCACATGTCACACCCAAAACGGCTGCATCTTCAAACGTGCTGTTAATTTTAAGGGCTGTAAGTAAGTGCTCAAAGCTTCAGGCACATTTCTGACAGGATACACTTTATGCCTCTACAGGGGGAAGAACAGTTAAGCAACATCTGCATAGGATAAAAAAATCAAACGCATAGGCTTATTGAGTTTTTTAGTAATGGTGCACAAACTTTGCACTTTTCATGCTGTCATGATTTGTCATTTAAAATCTTTACCATTTAGGATAAAAACTGATATTGAAATATTTATATTTATTTTTTTCACAGGCATGGAGGAGGCTTCATCAGAAAAGGCAGCTTACGTGTCAAACTACGTGGCCGATACTGCTCACTTTTCTGTTATCCAAGGCCCAGCTGCTCGTATCAGACCCATTCACCTTCCAGATAATTACTTTTCCTGTGAGTTCCTCTCAAAAACACCCAACTTCCCTCCTTCCCAGCTTTGCAGCATCAGTCAGTGTCAATTTTAACCAGTGTGACTGACCTTGTCCTGTGTTCCTTTCATCAGTCGACTATGAGGGCCTGGTGAAGAACTTGTCGGTATGCGAAGTATTCCAAATGTGACTTTTGTATTGATAAGAAGAATGAAAAATTATCTGCTTGCTTGGCTTCACGTCAAACAATCCCATTCTCCCTCTGCTGTGTGTTGATTCTCCTCTTCTGTGTCTGTTCTGAAGTGCAGGACCTCTGACCAGGCAATGAGACCGTATCTCAAAGAAAACCTCCCTAAAAGGATGCACTTTGCCAACAACAAACGCATAGAAAGAGGACACCTCTATATGAAGGAAGGGTGGCAGGCTGCGCTGTAAGTCACCTATCAGTCTCTTCACTGTGTTAACGTGTCGAGAGACTGAAAAGAGCAAGCTGATTGGTTGATCCTACTCGTGGCGGGAAGGCTCACACACTTCAACAGTACATTAAAGTATGTTTAAAGAATCTGGATGCATAATTGATCAGCACTGCCTAGTTTGACAGTTTAGTCTGAGTTTCGTTCGTTGCATTCAGGAGTTAGCCACGCCCTAAAGCATACCCTGCTGTATGTCTGTTTTACTTTAAATGGACCGTAATTTACAGAATGTTGCAAAATGTTGTACGGAAGAAGAATTGAAACTGCTGAATGAGACCATAAACGTACCAGAAAACTGTTTACTGAGGTAATAAATCGAGAAGTAGGATCATTTTGAACAGAGCTGATTGCATGCACAGGTCTTTTTGCTACCAATAGAGCTGCCCCCTGCTGGCTATTAGAAAAAATGCAGGTTTAAGTTACTCCTGCGTTGGTTACACCTCTCAGGCCTGGAATCTTTGTCCCCCTAATTATGTATTGTCAATGGGGTCACCCTAATCCAGAGATCTGGAGAGAAAGAGTAAGAGAAAAAACTCAAACGTGCCGCACACCTTCTGACTGCCTGCGCACGGCACAAGACAAGAAGGAGCGTCCTATTGGCTGGAGAACAGTAAAAATACTTTGATACTTGATTTTTTTGGACTTCTTTATTTCTAAAATCACGTAACAGCCAGCTTAATTCTATCTAAATGTACTTGTTAAAAAGAATTTAAAAAACGGCAAAAGAATTAGGGTTAGAGGTATGTTGTGTTTAGGGTTAGGGTTTTGCTGAATTAGGGTACTGGCACCTTTTTTGGTCCAATTCAGGCACTGATGATTACTCTGAGCAGCATGCAGAGAAATTAATTACAATATAATTGAATATATTTCTTGCCTCTTCGCTTATGCAAAACAATACAAGTTCGGAAGCGGGCCTAAAAATGAGCTAAATCTAGTGAGAGAGCCGCTAAATTGGCACACTCTCTGATTGATTTTGTGTCTAAGTGTGCGTGTGATGTAGCATAGACCTTGTGTGGGTACCGCTCAACATTTCTAGAATTTGAACACTTAACAATTACAATTCTGTGTTCCATGACAGATAAACATTATAATTTCAGTTATTTGGATACAAGATATCCTTAATTTCGAGCGCTGACTAAAATGTTGCTTATTATGTTGCCATAGTGCTGTTTTAGTGGGTCAGATGTCAAGGATTAAAACTGTTTTACCAATTGCATTTCTCAGAGTTAAAAAGACACGCTTGAAATACCAATTTACAGTATTATTTAAGATTAGATTTGGCTGTAATGCAGTGTAAGATAACAGAGCTGTTAAGGTGATTGATAAGGAATTGGCAATGGATGTGAGTGTATAATAATAAAAAAAAAAAGTTTGCCACACAGAAGCATTTACAGTAATTAGTGTTAGCAATCATTCATAATGAATGAAACGTGGTATGTTGGAGAGGAGTTGTACAACTCCTTTGATGGATAGAAACCATGTAATCATGGATAATTGCTTCAGGCTGAAGAATTTATTCAGTCGACTTGAATGCAGTTGCAGGGAGAATCGCTATAGAATTTAACTTGCCTGACTCTGAAAATAAGATAGAAACACATGTCAATAACTATCATGGTGGTGTTACGGTGACATCCTTCCTCCATTTCTCTCTTTGTGTTTATTTTAACTCCTCAGATAAAATACTTTTGTTATATCTCGACAGCAAACAGAGTGAATTCAAGTACCGCACCGGCGGATTCCACGGCTCAGATAACCTCTTCACCAACATGCAGGTCAGAGGAAGGGAACATTTGTAACCATATCCTGTTTAAAAAAAAGTTTTTTACAGTGTGATGAGCCTCGACAGCCGTTTGTTACTGATGTCACTCCGCTCAGTTCGATGTTCGATCTTCCATCTGATAAAACATTGTTTGTGTTCAGAGGATGTTTGTTAATCACATGAGCTCCAATGTGTGAAAGATTCATATATTTGTTCACATGTGGGAGCTGACAGGTTCAACAACACATTTCCAATGTTAGCTGTGAGTTCAGTAGCTCTCCTTGGGGTTTAAACCAGTGGTTTTCCAACCATTTTCTTTAAGGGACCCGTTTTCTGTTATTCAGTAAACTGACGACCTCTGACTGAGTAACATATTTTATGGATATTTCATATTATATTCAAACTGGTACAATTAACCCAAATAGTGAACTCAGGGACAACAAGAAGTTTGTGTATAAGGGGGATTTGGATGAATTTTGAGCAAATTATTACTTGTTTAGGGAACTCTTTATACAATACCCTGTCTATATTTTGTATTTTTTAATAATTTTTAACAATCATACAAACTTAACAGGCTTATTTTCTGACAAATTCAGTGTTTTCTTGTCCCTGATGCTTGGCCATTGTTCTATGACAGCAATTGACTTTACATTTACATTTAGATTTCTTCACAGAAGTGAACCAAATGCTGTTATATAGGCCTATTATGAATATATTTTTCAATTGTCTTACATCCCTTAAACTCAAGAATGCCCCCCATGAAGTTTTGGTGACCCCAAATGTGGGTCCCGAGCCCCAGGTTGGGAACCACTAGTTTAAACGATGAGCTCCACAGTAGCTGCTCATACTCATACGAAATATGAGAGCGTCACACAGGATAGATTTGTTGTCTTGCAGCGTATAGGCCTTAAACTGGAATCCAGCAAACAGAGATTTGTCAATGTAAGATTTGCTGAATTAGTTATGTGAATGAAAAGTGACTAAAATACACACAACAAACACAAAAACACTCAGTAGCTCTAAAACTCTACTCTAATTACACTTGTTGTGAGATTGTGAAAGGTTGTTCTCCACCTACACACACTGTACTGTGTTTATGCCTGTCACCTTCGTATCACAGTATGTCTGTATGTGGTTTACACTGGAATTTTACTTGTTATAATTAGCTTACAAGGTTGCTCACTTCTCTAAAAGAAAAGTTAACTATTCTACAAATGGCTTTTAGTGTGCTTACAGAGCAGACAAACAGGGCAAAGTGCTCTTGAAATAGACACCTGCAAATATCTTCCAATCCCACCTAACCAACATCTTTCCGAGAATTGAAATACCTAACTTGTGTTTCAAGGTTTTGTGAGGTCATTTTACTGATTTTGTTCATTTAAAATATTTACACATGGGCTAATCATGGTATTGAGTTTTTGACATCTAGTTATTTACAGAGGGAGTTTAAATGAAGGTCTTGGGCAGTGTTGTTTGGATAGTTCACTGTACTCTCTCATTTGTATCCAGAAATGTCTCCATATAGATTAATTAGTGTAAGTCTGTTAATGTGTGTTTACTTTATCCAGGCGATCTTCATTGGCTATGGTCCAGGATTTAAACACAAGACTGTTGTGCCTCCTTTTGAAAACATTGAAATATATAACCTCATGTGTGGTAAGTAGTGCACACTGATCTGTACTGTATCCTCCTGTAGCTGTAGCTACTGCTTTATTCTTTTCTTTTAGTATTTAAAGGAGTAGTTTGGAATTTTAGGAGCTTATTCACCTTCTGAGAAGAGAAGGACCCATCATATCCTGAAGGCTTGTTGTCATATGAGGTTGCCAGGCAGCAAGTGTAGGAAATCCTGCAAATAACCCCCAGTAAAACCACTAAAATCACAATGTGTTGTTTTCATACTTTGGTTTGTGTTCGGATTAAACAAACACAATATAATATGTTGGTTGTTGGAGTTGGTTGGCAGATTTTGGCACCTTGTGGACAGAGCCAGGCTAGCTGTTACCAATCTTTATGCTAAGCTAAACTAACTAGCTGCTGGTGGGTTGCAGGCTGGTTGTCTACATTTAAAGATAACATAATTAAAAACTGGTACATGAAAGATTTTTTGAAATACATTAATAATTAAAAAAATATTTTTTTTATAAATAAATAAGATAAAATATGATGCTGCTTTAGTTTTTGATTTTGTAAAATATATAAGCGTATTATTGAATTGTTTCCACATGTCTGTTGCACTGATTGAGAGTGAAACATATCTAAAAAATTAGTTTTTAAGCCCAAACAGCTTAATGACAATCTTAATGACTGTAACGTATCTGCCACTTATAAAGCACTGTGTTCACAAGATGCATGAAGCATTATTCATATCACCCTCAATCAGAATACGTGACCATGTCGGCCCCCAAACCCCCTAATTTCACTCATTCTCATCTGGTCTTTCTCTTCCAGATCTCCTCGGTATTCGTCCGGCTCCAAACAACGGGACTCACGGCAGTCTGAACCACCTTCTGAATCATCCCGTCCACCTGCCAGTTCATCCAGCGCAGCTCTCACACGACACCCCCTGTGAGGCCAGTAACCCCTCCCCCTCTGACGACCAGTGCAACTGTACATCCCAAACCAAGGCAATGGTATGTAACAGTTTATTGAGCTCGGATCGGTTGCCATTTTGTACAGACGTTCATTGTTAGAGTGAAGCTTAATGAATTTGGTGATCCCCTTTTATCACCTCCGCTATGAGGTTATACTGTATATATTTGTTTCTTTGTGAAATGTCTCAACAACTATTGGATTGATTGTCATGCAGTTTGGTACAGATGGCGCCCAGAAGGTGAATCTTACAGTCTTTCTTGACCCCCATGCTTTTACTCTGCTGCCACCAGCAAGTCAAAATGTTTACTTATCCAGTGTAAAAATCTCAACATCTACCAGTAGATTGGCACATTGGACATTCGTGATTCCCTGACTTTTCATCTGGAGCCACCTGAGTTTGGCATATGTGGTTTTAAGTAAAATGCCCTGGCAACTTTTGGATGCCCTGGCAACTTTTGGATTGCCATGAAATTTGGCACAAGACACAGCAAGCAGCTTATATTAATTATGAGTCTAGCAGCAAGTAGGCCAGCCCGCTGTCTGTCTGCAGCCTTTTATTTGATAAAGCTCTTGCTGAAAGATTAAAAAACGGTCCAAAAGTTACTCTTGTCCAGTGGCTTCGCTCTCCTTTTCTCTTCTTAGCTTCCTCTGCATCCTCTTTGGTCTTTTTAACTCTGGCATGTCACTCAACAATGTCCACAGTAGTTTCTGAGCTCTGTTACATTGCCCGCTTGCCCGGCTCCAGTTCTGGCATGAAGCCGCTCTCGGTGTAAACACTGCCCCCGGTGCTCTGAGGTCCCAGTCCCGGGTGTCCAGGGCTGTACGGCTAAGCTAACCAACTAACAGCAGTTCCATTTAACAGCGATGACTTGGATGTCCATCAGGATACTGCAAATCACAGAAATTTGAGTTGGAGCAGCTGGAGGACATTAGAGAGAAAACCAGAAAACATTTTCTCCATAAAATATCCAGTTTCTCCAAAATTTTTGACATAGTTGGTGATGTGTGTTACTTACTGCACTTGTTCTGACCCAGAGCCAAAAGTTACAGGTGTACGGGGTGCAGAGTGAGAATCAGTGGTATGGTGCAGGGCACGCACAGATAAATGGAGTAAACCTACCTCTAAATAATTCTGCATCTTTCAGTAGTGTCCTGCGAGCCAATTGTTTTCCCTAGGATGGTGAAGGTATAACATAGCTGTCTAATTTTCATGAGTGGATGGAGTAGGACATTGAATACTTATTTTATATAGCTGTTACACGCGTCTGTAGGCCAGTATTGATTGCAAAATCTGCTCCTCTTCTGTGGCTAATGTTAAGTTCCTAATGACCAGTACTCCCTAAAGTCAAGCAGCAGACGTTAAGTGGCAATGTGCAAATGCCACAGGTCCATTTTTGGGTGAACTAAATATGCTAGAGTAAGGTGCTTATCCTTTATATACACACTTCTCCAGGCACCCACTACACCTCTGCTGAGAATGACTGAAGCACTCTCTTATGCTTATGAAGCTGTTATTTCAAGGTAGAAAAGTTACATAATGTTACATTGAATTAGTATAGAGGTCAAATGACCAGTTACCCTCAGTCAGAATCTTTTCTGTACAATAATGTGCAAAAAGAAATCATACGACCATCATACGTGGACTTTAAACTTTCACAGGTGTACATGGTGAAGATGTAATAGATACATGGTCGATTTGAATGTATGTAACTAACAAGAAGTGTGAATATCTTTTTTTTAGGAGGCAGATATGAACACACGTCTCATGGCGACTAATTCCAGTGAGTATCATTTTATTTTAATCTTTGGCAGTCAAAGTGTTTCTTAGAGGAAAAACTCACTACATTCCCCCTTCAGGTGTTAAAGCCAGCTTACGTCGTCTCCACCATCCCTTTGGCACCCCTCGAGTCGTCCAGCCTGATGTCAGCTTTTGTCTTCTCCACCACTCCAACTACCTCAACGGGTACAGCAAAGACCGCCTCATGCCCCTCTGGGTGTCGTACACTATCCAACCTCTGGTGAGTCCGCTGTTTGGTGCTGTCTTTTTATCTCTAAACATAGCCTGAACAGTTGACTTGTCCTGGCTATATTTCTTCTGTGGTTAGGGTTTGGCAGGAGATTGTAAGAGGTTGTTGACTATCTGAATCACTTCTCGAAGCAGCTGTTACTCATCTTCTGTGCTCATGTTGGCTCAAACAATTCTTGTCTTTCTCATTATGCGGTTGAGCTTTAGTGTAAATTATGACTTCAGGAAGAGTGATACATTCCCGGCAGAGTTTATGCTGTTGTACTATACTGTCTGAATGATGGAGCAAGTGGAGATGTAGATTTGTTTTTATTCAGGCTTTATCTAAATACAGTGTAAACTAAATATGGCATGAACTGTAGCCTACTCTGTGTTCATCGAGGCTTCAAAGAACTTTTATCTATCTGTCAGCATAGCATACAGTATTATGCTCAACCCACTTGTACACCCACAGAAAACTTCACATCATGTCAACTCTTAACAACTCCATTATAAAGCTACCTTCAAGCTAGTTTGCCTACCAGAAAATCAATTAAATCAATGAAAAGTGTGAGGCGCAGCTGCAGAACAAGCTTACATTTCTATTCTTTTGCATAAACGTTTGAAATTATGCAGAAGCTTTTCATGCTTCTATTTTTGGACCTGTAATCAGGGACATGATATTAAGTAATACTTTATTTTACCGGTTTGTAATGACCCAGTAGTTTAAGACAAGGTTCCTGTAAAGAGAGATTTAATCCGGGACTATTTATAAGGGGAGAATAGGAAAAAGCTCCATTTGAACCCCTGTAATATCAGTCATTATTCATTTATTACTGGATATTGATTTATTATCCATTGATTTAGAATTCACTGTAAACAAATTTTACATTTTAAGCTAGTAGCGTGGCTCTATGGATGGCAATTGAATGGGTTGCCATGAATATGGTACAGACGTTCATGTCTATATTCTAATAACTTTGGCAATACCCTGAATTTTCATTTAGCATCACCAGTAGATCAAAATCTTAATTTGTCCAATGCTTTGACCAAATAACTGCAAAGCTAATGATATTCCCATCAGTCTCACAGCTGTACTTTGTGTTAGCATTCAGATGCTAGCATTTAGCTCTGCCATGGGTAGGTACAGCCTCACTAGCCGCTAATATGGCTGGAGAGTTTTGTTGCATATTCAACTGACCTGAGATTGATTAAATGAGAGTTTACAAGCTGAACAATGTCTCTGTTTTCCCTGTAATAAGTGACAGATTACACAGTCCTCACCAAGAAACCTTTTGGAAATGACATACATTTTAGAAATAGATTTCAGGCGAAAAAGACAGGCGAGGGAAGTGAGATTAGATCATTATTTTTAGAGAGCGCTGCAAACAAAAACAGTGCATTATCCTCACTGACCCGTATACACAAGTGAGACCAAACCAAGCCAAGTGATCTTACACAACCATCAGAGTGCTGGCCGGGAGTCCTGCTCCACTATCCCCCACTGACTGATCCTCTCTCTCAGACCAGAGTCAAACTCCTGAGCCCAGAGACGGAGGCATGTGTTCGTGCTGACGTACGCATCCCATCGGCTGCCAGCCAGCTGTGTCTGCGCTACAGAGAAGACCCCGCGCTGTCCTATGGCCTGCTGCATCCCCCCAGTGAGTGTGTGTGAGTGTGTATGTGCAGTGTGTGGTGGAGGGGGTCATAACAGGCCATCCCCAGCCGGGTGTTGAATTCAAGTTGACATGTTTCAGAGCCGCATTCTCATGTTAAAATGCACCCCTGGTTCTGGTCTACAGCAGTGAAGAGTGTCCCATCCCCCCCTAATTGAGACGCTGTAGATTCACTGTATTTTTAATGAAATTCAGGTTTCAGGTAGCTCTACAAAAGGAAGTGACAGACTGAAAGAGTGAAGTAAAAAAAGCATTAAAAGCATCCCAACAGCTGTGAGGAAGTTGGACTCACCAAAACTAGACATTATGTTTTCTTTGTGGTTCTGGTAGAAACTGATCTCAGACTGAGGTTTGTGCAGTTCAATGAGTTTACAGCGATTACTTAATTTATTGATTAGTCGCTAGGCAATTATATTGGCAATTAATCCTTTAAAAGTCCAGTGTGTAAGATTTAGTGGCATCTAGCGGTGAGGTTGCAATCAACTGAATTCCCCTCGCCTCACCCTCCCGTTCAAAGCATGTAGGAGAAACTACGGTGGCTGCCAGTGTTTGGTTTGTCCATTCCGGGCTACTGTAGAAACATGGCGGTTCGACACGCTCGCTTTGTAGATAGAAGCAGCTCATTCTAAGGTAATAAAAACACTTCTTATTTTCAGGTGATTATACACTAATGAAAACATACCTAGCACAAATGCCAAATATTAGCTTATTCCAGTTTTTAAAAATGTGAGGGTTTGCAGGTTTTTGTAAATTAAATATTTTCTGGTTTGGGGCTGTTTATTTGACATTTTGTGACATTTATTCAATGTTTTCTGACATTTTTTTAAGATATGATTAACAGAAAAAATCAGCAGATTTATCAGTGAGGAAAATAAATGTTAGTTGCAGCCATAAATTACTTAACCTCTTTATATCTAGCTCCACCAACATCTGAAAATTAGTTTCAGCCAGTCAATCTTTATAACTTTAGACTAACTTCTTACAACATGCAGTTTATGTTTCAATTCATCCACAAATTGCAAACACATTAACTTTTTCCTCACCTATCATTTTCTCTCTGTAGGTCTCAGTATTGACGGACCTGAGACAGACTCTCTAATCACAAGCAACATGGCACCGATGTTCCCTGCATTTAAGGGTGAGTCAGCAAACATTTATTGCCCCTGGTTCTCTAGCTGCACCCAAATATGGAAATGAGAATCACAGTGATGCACGAGTTAAAAATGTCAGTCCAGAGTTGTCAGAAGGGTTCATTTGCTGGAAGAATGAGAGCTTTTGAGCTGAATGAGAGCCGAACAAAGTAATTAATTAGCGAACAGAAGAGATGCTACATCAAAACTAGACATTACATCATGCTAGTTTTTGTTAAATTGTTCAAGTCAAGTTTTCCTGAGAGCAGGTATTATGGTTTGTCTGCTCTCATGGGCCATTTTTATTCAATATTATACTTTTCAAAGCTGATTTTCTAAAAACAGGCTATACTTTTGGTTCTTAAATAAACATAATAGGAGTCCAAAGATCCAACCACTGTGATTATATGTGTCTACTGTACTTTAATTTAGTTAAGCTCTTTCTGTAAAGCACAATTAAAGGTTTAGTCAGAGGAACTTTTCCAGTCTTAATCCTGCTGCCATCCTACTGTAGACACCGCAGTTTTCTTCACAATAAGATTCACTTAAAAGGTGGTTTGTAATATGTCTGAACTGATTCACCAGACTGTGCTCTAAAAAACACAGGAGGTGGTTTAATGCATGAAATCATTTTTTCAGTTGTACGTGAATTGGAACGGAGTCAGTGTTCGTTCACTCCCCTAATTTTTGTGCTTTTGTTCATAAAGACATATTGTTTAATGCTGCTGTGAAGCCCACATGAGTCAGGTCTGTACCTGCACTCACAGCACTACGCAACATTACCTGTGTCATATGTGAGAGTTTGTGAGTGATTTGGTAACAATTTGTGACTTACTGCTGTGGTTTGCTGGGCTTTTGCTGAAACGTGTTAATGGTGACTGGTGATTAATGTATTAAAATTGTTTCCACTGGGGCCACCCATACTGCAAACGGAAACTCTCTCACTAATGAGGTCCCACTGGAAGAGAACCCCTTCCAAACACTGCCGTTTGTGTACGTTGGAAACCTAAATATAAATCAACTAACAGAGGCTGCCCCCTGGTGTCACACCGCTGTGTTTACGCTGTGTGTAAACCTCAGGCCAGTCGGTAGTTTATTGACTTAAATATCACAACACAGTACAAACATATAAAATAAGGCATTCCTCTTGACAAAAATATAAAAGCAACAAAGAACTCAAAAAATAGACAAACATGGTACAAACATGATAAATGAAAAGATAAAAGATAAAAAAAAGTGCTCCAGGCTCTAATAAACAGGACTTACAAAGAGAGATCAATAAAATAAAAAACACTAGAATAAATAAGGTAAAAACAAGAGAATTTCATAGACCAAAGTATCATTCATTGTGGTGTATTGTTGCAGAATGAAAAGGTTTTTGTGTGTATTTTCCCTAACTGCAGATGTTTGGGCCCATGTCCACGATGTCCTGCTTCCAAAATATTCACAACAGCTGAACGGAGTCAACGTCATGAGTGGGCCGATATTTGATGGAGACTACGATGGAAATGTTGATGCACTTAAAGCAATCTCAGGGTAATTGAGCGGCACAAACTCCAGGCAGACGATTAGGACTGCTCCCAACACATAGGCTATGTTCACACTGGAGGCAGAAGTGGCCCAAATCAGATTTATTTGCTCATATGTGGCTCAGATCAGACTTTTTTATGTCAGTGTGAACAGCACAAATCACATGATTTAGGCCACTTTCATATGTGGTCCAAATCACATACATCATATATGTGACTTTTATGTTACTAGACTGACATTCATCATGCAGGTCACTTCAGGACTGTGACTTGAGAATGTGAACAGCCAAACAGAAACATGGGATCTGAGCAATAAGTCAGAATTGAGCACTAAGCCTTAGAATGTGAACGTTGCCTTAGTTATTTTCTTGATTAATTGATCATTGTTTTTCTAAAAAATATCAGAAAAAGGGGAAACAGATGTCCATTATGTCTTCCCAGAGCTTAAAGTTACATATTGAAATTTACAATCAATTTGCTTGAAAAAAATAACTAAAACAATTATCCATGAATCAATTGTCTTTATGATTATCAGTGAGCAATATAGGTGTGAATTTATTAAGTAAATGCAGCCTTCTAACAGGGGTTATAGAAGAAAGAGCAATGTCTGTACATGTCTTCATGGGTAAGTTGTGGTTGATAATGAAACTTCCTTTTAGCTTTGAGATTCCCATGAATACTTCACCTCTATAAATACAATTCTAAAGACTTCAAAAGCAATCATTAGCTATTCACTTGTCTTTTTATAGTTTATTGTAGACAAAGAAATCTTCTGCACAACTAGGAATAACATGAGAGAGTATATGTTTTGTCAAAATACTATTTTTAATCCTTGGTGTGAAAAGCCTTTATTTCTCAAGAGCTGAGGTCTTGTTGCTCCTCAGCATTGTGCCATGAGTGCAGTAAACTTCCCCAAAGTGTCTAGACCATATCCCTTCAACAGCATTATATTTGAATCCGAGTATTTATGTTGTTGTACTGATTGACGTCACACTCATTCATTCACTTTTTCAGTAAGCTTCTTACTGATGAGTAAGACACTGATCAGTCAGTGAAACCCACACAGTCCTGATGGAGCAGATTAGTGTTTTTTTTTAGTATTAATCTGTTAATAAATAATGTTATAGAAAAATACTTTTACATAGCCAGCAGGTTGTTGTTAGTTTGAGACCTGGGGTTCTGACCTTTTCCACGTCAGCTTATGTTTTATTTATTTACTTTTTCATAAGTTAAAACCACAACTTTCACGAAAGGAGGCAGCGGTCTCTTAAACCCTTTGGTCTCGTGTTTCTCCAGGAATGAGACTATCGTCCCGACGCATTTCTTCATGATCCTGACCAGCTGTAGGAACTCGACCTTCAGCCCTGTTAACTGTAAGGGTCCCCTCCAGGCCAAGTCCTTCATCCTTCCCCACAGACCTGACCACACAGAGAGCTGCGCTGTGAGTAACACCACTGACCTCCTACTTGTTTCTGCACTATCAGCCTACTTCTGTGGAAACCTGCTGACTGATCACACTGTGGAAAGAATGATCAAAGCTGAATACATCACTCATTGATAAATTTTCATTCATTTTTCCCTCCTTTTTGTTTTTTTCTTCTTCAGAGTGGGTCGGACTTGACGTGGGTCGAGGACTGGCTGCAATTTCACGTGGCCCGAGTCCGAGACGTGGAGCTCCTGAGCGGACTGAGCTTCTACCACGACAGGATATCGGTGGAAGAGACGCTACAACTCAAGACGCTTATACAGACTGCTTAAAATCAGAGACATTATTGAATGAAGCTTTAATGTCCAAAGGAAGCCATATTGGTCTGAACAACAGGCCCTCTGTCCATGTGGACACAGTTAAACCGACTAGCAGTGGGTTTAAAACGTGCCTCACTTATAAAGTGTTCAAACCAAATTGATCCCAGTTCCATCCAGGTTGTTTGTGATATGTCTGATCCCCCCCCCAAAATGCTTTGTAATAATTCAAAAGCCGTATATATATATTTGTTTTTGATCATGTTTTTATAAATGATTTTATAGAGAAAAATCTGAGGGCATTTTTATAAACGAGTCTCCGAAGCTCTGCACCAAAGATGCCATCACATCTGCTGAGTGGCTCCAAAGTATTTCCTCAGATGGGAAAGTTTGGCAGGAAGAAAATAAAAAAAGGGAAAGGAAACATTTATTGATGGAGGAGGAAAATCTATTTATACTGCAGTTGTTTTTATTGGCGGGGGCACTTTTAAGAAACAACATGACAATCTGGAAACAGTTTGTCTGCCGCCACACATCTGGAGAGCTGGCTGCAGCGGCCGGAAAAACACCCAATGCGAGACTTAAAGAAATACGTTTCTGCTCTACAGAAAGAAAAGTTTTACCTGCTAAATGTTGTCGTCTCTATGTTCCTGGTTGTTATTTTTGTATTTTCTTCACACAGCACCAATGTTGTTTTTAGTATTTTGTAAATTCTTTGTTTGGTTAATGACATTTGGAGATAATTATAAAATTTTAGTGTGTGAATGTGTGTGTGTGTGTGTAATGTATGCATGGATGGATTATGATACAAATTTGCTCCTGGGCACAGACCTAAACAGGAGCAACACATCCAGACTAAAAGAGGCACAGTGACCACAAACAATGCATCTTTCTGTAGCTGGTTTGTGCCTTTTTGATGTCGTTTTGCATCTCTGTTTCTTTTTTAGTCACTTTGTGTCTATTATTTTGCGTTTTTATTACACATTACACATTTTGTGGTTGTCTTTTGTCTTTCTGTACTGGTCTTGTGCCTCTTTAAAGTCTTTTTGCACCTCTTTCAAGTTGTTTTGCTATCTTCAAGGTCATTTAATGTCTCTGTATAGTATTTTTGCGTCTCTTTCCGTGATATTCAGCAGGTTAAGCAGAACTCTGCGATGTGACTGTTGTTCACACCGGAGATGACGAGAGGCTGTCTGTGCCAGGTTGTAATATTCAGTAATCCATCCGTGAATGTTTGTGTAAATGTGTGTGTGTGTGTGTGTGTGGGAAGCTGAAATTATTAGTAGTATTAGTCTTTTTATCTTTTCTCTTCACAGCAGCTGTCTGGAAGTTGAGGTTGGTGGGCATTTGTGGATATAAAGAAAAGAGTTCAACAAATTTATACATTTCCAATATGTGTTACAGCTTATTTTGTTTTAGTATTGTCAGAAATGGCAGCCAGGATCAAATACAGTTTCATAAAAAAAAATCCTCACACTGACCTTGTGACTTGTATTCTTTACGCCTTACCTATAACACCCAGTGAGCTTCACAGAAACACTCTGCATACAGTATTACACCCAAAACAAAGGGAAGCTGAATGTGACATAACCAACCAGCAGTTGCTCAGTTGGCTCCAGATTGCAACGTGTGAATGCAAAAAGGAAGCAAACTGAGCTCTGTACGTTTCCCCTCTCATGTATAAAATCTGCCACTTCCTCAGGTTGACCACCCCAGCAGTGCAATGAGCCTCAAGGTAAGATCTTGCAGCTTTCTGCTCTGCACCTCTTAACTCTGGAGTGACCTAGTTCTCATGTCACAGACCCGAGTTTGCTTTCTTTTAGACGTTGTTGTAGATAGATTGTCTCATTATTTCATCTCCAGAGTCAAAGTGATAATCTCAGTTGAGCAACAAAAACGCGTGTTGAGTAAATGTTTTGTAATCACATCTCAGATTTCAGTCATTGTCGGAAGAAAAATTCACAGTGATTGCAACTATTAAGACATACTGTGAACGCAGGGTGTACGTTTCTTTTTATCTGTGCAGTTTTATTGTTTACATCTCTCCTGGTTGCTGAAAGTTTTTTGTTTCATATCTTCACTTTAGGTTCATCTAATGTGTAAAACTTGTATGAATGTTTGCAAAAGCAAGTGCGTATAGAAAGCTGCATGAAGACGAGCTGTTGAAAACCCCACTGCATGGTTTTAAGAAAATACACAGATGTCAGCACATTGCAGATAAATTCCTGCGCAGTATTTTGAGATTCTTTCAGCAGAGTTTGCGTGCGACCTTGTCATGTTTTGGAAGAAGAGGTCACTCTTTTCTAAAATAAAAGACCCACAGTTTGTGTTGTCAGAGCTTGTGGTGTATGAAGCGTGACAGTTAATGGGTTTTAATTTGGAATTTGCTTGTGGTGATCAGTCTGGCTGTAAGCGCAGACAAGCTGCCAGGGCTGACTCGAGGTATGCAGTCGTTCACACCGGTCTTCCAGGAAACTCAGCTCTAAGAGGGAAACATGTCAGAGGCCATGTGATCATTTTGGTCTTTCTCACAGCGTTCAGGCTCTGTATTTGGGTGCCAGTGTAATCAGTCAGTGGTCCTTTACTGTCATTGCTGTGGTGGGCTGACATGGGTTCCCACCTTCTCTTCTCGGATGTGAACTCACAGTCACCACTAAACCACGGACAGCCTGAATCATTATAGTCTTTTGCATAGTAGAGGCAAGTTTGAAATGAGTGTACTTGAGTGTGTTGACGTGATGATAATCATCCCTTATACAAGTAAACGCTCCCAATCAAACTGTCAAACCGAGGGCTAGCATGATGAAATGTCTGTTGCATCACAGCCTTCCAGTAGCAACATATTTCACATCTTGCCTCATTGGCATTTACAACTTGAGAGAATCCCTTTAGGCACAGTGCACGTCAGCAGTGGACAGATAGCAGCTGTGTCCCTCTGTGAGCCATGCAGCCTAATTACAGTTGACACTGAGTGTTTTCTCCGGCCTCCTGGCAGCTCTGGATAGTAACAAGGACACAAGCCCTTATCTACCAACACAGCCTGGCATCCAGCTATTCAACAGGCCACTTCCTCTCAACTCGCCATGCTTCACTTGCTACTGACAAGGATGTTTTTATTCCAAATTGAGATGTGCACTATTTGAAATGAGATGAATTAGAGCTAAAATGAATAGTCTGACATTTTGGGAGATACATTTATTTGCTTTCTGGCCAAAAGTGGTATGCCAGATTTCAGGGGGGCCGGCCATTATTGTGAAACCTGAATAGTCAGAAAAATGTCCCTTTGCACTGATAGCCTGTTATCCTGGGAACAAAAGCCCATTTCTCTGAAAGCCCTTTTGTCCAAAAATATACACATATATACAGTTTTTTGCAGGAAAGTACGAAATCAGGTGACCTCGTCAGGTGATTATTATGGTAACCATAACAAACACATGGTTAACATTGTGAAATGGTGGCAGTTTGGTTCCATCTGTTTAGTTACGTACATAGGATGGTAATACAAGAGAGTATTTTCAGAACAACAAGCCTACAGAGCAATGATGGTTTTTGGATAGTGTGCTGTCAGACAAATAGGCTTTTGGTCCGGTGGGACATTTTTCAGACTATTGGGGGTCTCGGGAATAATGGCCGTTGGATAAATGGCCTGGCACCGGTTTCTAGCTAGCATGAAGTTGTTTGCATTTTGTCGCTAACTAATTAACACGTTTTATCTTTGTTTGTGTGAGTCCTGGAGTCTTGTCATGTCATGAGAAGTCACTGCACCCAGCCAAGAAATAGTTAGCCGATAACCCCGTAAGATCACAACTCGTCATCTTTACAAAGACTTTTGTACAGATTCATCAAACAAGATAGAACATGTTTATAAGTGAGCTTTAGAGGTGCTGGTATTAGGGTTTCGTCACTTGGGACAGAGCCAGGCCATCTGTTTCCTCCTGCTTCCAATCTTTATGCTAAGCTAAGCTAAGCTAAGCTAAGCTAAGCTAACTAGCAGCTGGCTGTAGCTTCCTATTAACTACCCATACATTACAGTGGTATCAATCTACTCATCTAACTCTTGGCAAGATAGCCATTGAGCTTATTATATTTAAATATGAAGCTCTCCTTCTGAAATAAAGCCTTTAAGTCAGTCAGTCAACGCACCTTTAATCTTTATTTACAAATGTTAAGCTTCCGGTGATGACTTTTTTTAAATGGATATTTAGTTTGAATAAGATTTAGGTAAGTCTACTGACCTGCAAAAAAAAAAATATATATAACAAAACTAGAACACAGACGCACGTCAGCCATCAATAATGCAAGGGTTGGCATTTGGTTTGTTTTGCAGCCCTGCCATCAGTGAAGCATCACTGCTCTTCCTGCAGCTGAGGAAGCAGTGGTGGTTTGCCCGGGGAGAGTGGTTGAATAGAGTGGGGGGGAAGCTTCACGATACTGACACAGGAGGTGAATATAAGTAGATAAGTTGAGGGGAAGCAAATCAGCATTTTGAGGTTAAAATATTGCCCAAATGCACAGTAGTGTTTTAGTTTCACATGTCGTCAGATCCTGTATTGCTACCAGGAGCTCTGAAGTTACTCCTGCTGACTAACTATCTGCGTCATCAGATAACAGGCTTGCCTTTAGAGAAATGAATATTAAAAGAGGGTATTTCCACAATTGTGGGGTTGGACCGTGAAGTTTAATCATCCAAGTGGAAACACTACAGCTAGCTATATCTGCTCAAGAGGGCTATATCTGGCTCTGACGTGGATGCAGACTCTGTGGAGATCGGGATCAGGAGAAGGGGGATCTTAGCAGCACGCAGACAACCTTTATTATCTCCCTTTTTGTTCTTTACTCCTTCAGCTGCTCTAGAGGACTAAAGAGGAGGTCTGAGTCTGGGTCCATTAAAGGGGAGGGTTAAAGAGGAGAGGAGGAGGAGACAAGAACACAAAGAAGACAGCGAGGCAGAGAGGCAGAGAGACAGAGAGAAGAGGACCAGTGAGAGTGACAGATGATCAGAGACTGCTGTTTAAAGATGGATTTAAGTTTGCTTCAAGCTCTGGAGAGAGAAAGAGTCCTGGAGGTTCTTCGGAGAGACAAACAGTTGCGTACCATTGAGGAGGACAGAATAAGGTGAGTCATTTTTTACCACTTTCATAGATACTTCTGAGAAATACTGATGCTGAAAGGAGGCTGATTCTTCCTTCGGTAGAGCAGCAACAAACAAGAATAACAGAGAGGACTCAGACTCAAATATGATCTTGTGTTTTTTTCTGTAACCAAAGACTACTTCATTTTGGTTTCTACTGAGTATTTCAGTGTATTTTAGAATCTGGAAATCACATTATAAAGAAAAGGGATGTTTAACCCAATCAGTTTTACTCTTTCAGACTGACAGAAGATACATTTTCTATGTGAAAAATATTTGACAGTGGCAGTTAAAGGTGTTTGTGATTCCCTCCATCTTCTCTCACCTCAGGAGGATGAAATATGAGCTGCAGGAGTTGCGGAGGAGAGGAGCAAAGAGTTATGCCCGGCAGTATGGCGAGCGGACCTGCGCCCGGTGCCAGAGGCCGCTGGGAAAGTTCTGGAACTCGGGTGCAGTCTGCCGCGGCTGCAGCCACCGCATCTGCAGCAGGTGCCGCGTGGGAGCAGCGGACTGGAAGTGCACGGTCTGCCACGCCTACAGGTGCAGTAAAGAGCTCAGCCACCTGTTTCATGCAAAGAGAGCTGAAATAGATGACTCAGCGGTGCTCAAATCACAGCACAAAATGACTGTAACTGTCTCCGCTTGACTTTTGAAACTGACTTTCAGCTCTTGATTTGCCCCTTTAATCTTTAATTTTTAACTTTCTTTAAAGCAGCGATATTTGATATTTTTTATAATGAACCCTCAGAGAATTATTGCCTGAATGTGAAGCTTCCCTCAGCTTTATGGAGCTTTATAACAAGTTTGATCTCAAACTATTTAATATACAGAATATATTAGTCACTTCTCTCAAAAGTAAGACTTAATATGTCCAAGAAATGAAATTCAATCTAAAGTAAAAAAAGAAGCAGAAAGAAGGATAGCATGACCTAAAAATAATACCCAGACAGCTAAACCCTGTCTGGCCCAGTAACGGCCCACACAGTCCACTCACGGACCAGTTTAGGGTAGTCAGGTACAGTAAGTATATTAATAGTTATACTTGCTTCCTCTTCTTTTTCAGTATGAGTACAGTGTGCTAACAATGTGGTTGTGTAGATGTGTCTGTGGGCCAGCGACAGTGTAGACGATTTCAATGACTTTCTGACTTTCTGAAACTCACTTTGTGGCTTTTACTTTGTTTGCACACTTGAATGAGATCTTTTATATCAGCTCTTGTTTCAACCCTTTAAATGTCCCTTCAAATTCAGCTCACACGAGAGCAAACTTACTTCACTTGGCTGTAAAACAAAACAAATCATCATTACATTTTCAGAAACTTAATATACAGTATATGTAGAACTTCTCTGATAAAAATCCAACACAAGTTAAAATAAGAAGAGGCAGCGAGAAGGAGAGCATGTATCTAAAAATAATAGTGTAGTCAGGTGTAGTTGCCACCTCTTCTTGTTCAGTATGAGTGCTAATAATGTAATAATGTCATCATCTGCTCATTACAGTGTTTTTCTTCCTCTCAGGGAGGTGAAGATCAGGTCTGGAGAGTGGTTTTTAGAGCAGAGGGCACAGAAATTTCCCGTCATCACAGGTTTGTTTACTATATGCGGACTGCATGTACTCACAATTGTTTTGTTTTTATATCTATCGTTAATATTAATTATTGATACTCCCTTGATATCATCCTATTTCAACTACATTGATGAATAAAATATGGATGTTGTGTTTGTTTAAGCTGTGGCTTTATATGGAGTTTAAAAGTTATTGAATTATTTATTTAGTTATCAGTGTGGTAAAGAGGCAGAATTGTAATATTTTAATTATAATTATTTATTTTTTATTTTTGTATTGGACCAATGAGGATATTTGTATACTTTCTTGTGTTGTTATTTTTTTATCTTTACATACTTTTAAAGTAGTAGTATTAGCACTCATTGTGTCATATTTGGCCACATAAGTATAATGACTTTCACTCTGTTTGAACAGTCACAACAAAGTCATATTTAGTGTCACTGTGAACTAACCTCAGAAGATATAAATTGCACCGACATGCTGAACTCCGTCTCTGTGACAGTGTGTAAACATTTGTCTTTCACGCTTGTGGTGTCGTGTCATTCATAATATTTATGTTCTTTGCAGACAAATATGAGACAGTTGGAGAGAAGCTATTAAATACCTACAATGTGCTGAGGTACGAGGAGTCTTAACACGTTTATTTTGAATGTTTGCAGCTACTTTAATTCATTAAAATGAAAACACAAAGTAACATGTTTTTTTTTCTTATATTTTTCACAGTCATATATCCATTGTACCGCCCACTCCTCCACCCCACTTGGATTATCAGTTTCTGAGCAGATCTGGGGTAAAATACTGGAAAATTTCCAGCATTATTTCACAGTAAAAGTGTAAGATAAATGAACTGAGTGCCAATAAATGTTGTGTTTTGGTCTGCAGGATTTCAAAAACTCCAAACCTTTCACCAAATCTGTGGAAGATCTAATGGTCTCCTTCACCAGTCATATTAAAAGTAAGTTTATGTATCATTAAACATCTTCTCTTATCAGTTAAGTGGCCGATATTAACGTACCAACACAAAATTCAGCACATCAAACATCGAGCATCTCGGCGAGAAGATATCGCGTCAGAATTCTTAGCATTACTTCCTGTGATTGATATCACGACAATCTGATAAGCTAAATATGTGCACAGTAATAACCACAAAGGAAATAGAACTGAAATATTGTGCCGTGTGAACTCCCCTCTTACCTGATCGTCCTAACTGCATCAGCAGAAGTTGCACAGGATGATGACAAGCATAGATAACAATAATGTGTTGCATTGCAAAAAGAAAAAGGAAACACCTTGGTACCAACTGTTTGAGGGCTTTCAAATTTATAAGAAATGTATCCAGGCAGTGGATGAATCATCTTGTTCTGAATCTTTGTGTGTGTGTGTGTGTGTGTTTGTGTATTTCTCTGTAAAAACATTCACAAGTGTCTGACTTCTTTTTCCTAAACGCAGAGATTTCCACTTCTCAGAACGATGTGCGAGAAGACCTGCTGAGTGTCGACAACAGCCGGAGAGGGTCGTGCTTCAACTACAGCACCCAGAAGAGCCTGTCTGACACTGACATCAACAAATCCAGCAAAGTAAGTCGGCTACAACACTTCATACGTTCAGTGCAACGAGTCATTGAGCTCTTCTGTAGGTGCACAGCGCCCCCAGCCTAAGACACAAAACCCATAAACAATATTTCCACTTTCGCTGGCCAGAAAGTCTTGTTAAATCCTAACAGCTGCAACAAACTCAGCTCACATTAATCTGTTGCACATTTGTTTAGACTGAACTGATTTTCACAATCCAGATGGGACCTTTTATCTAATAATCTGAGACCTTTACTGGTGATCAGAAGTGGGAAGTACTGCACTATTTGCTTGAGTATTAATTTCTCTTAAAACCTATTTACTGTTACTTACTATATTTTTACATAAATATCTGTACTTTCCTTCACCTTTTGTATTTTTTTTTTTTTTAGATGGACAAGTATGAGGCATAAACAAATGCCACATAACACAACATTTACTATAGCATAAGCTCATTTACAATGCCCGTCCATAGATGGGCCTTTAAAATACATAAAAACATGTACTTACTCAACAGTAAGTACATAAAAAACACAGGACTCAACAGGCAGAACAATACAGGACATTTATAGGCTTGTTACTTTAGTTTTAATGGATTTCAAAGGAATGATCAGTTATTTTTTATTTCTGCATAATTGCACACATCCCCAACATCAAGACTGGTGCATATTACTCATAACAGATGTATTATGTATTAAGTAAAATGGCGAAAACAATGTAAAAGACGTAACAGACAAGAGAGGACTCAACCCTATCAGTACTTTAAAGTAAAGTTAAAGTATCTGTACTTCTATTTGAGTAAATCATGTGTGAACCTTTGCCACCTCCACTGATGATAACAAGGAATAACTATCAGTCTGTTAAAGCACAATAAAGAAATCATCCCTGTACTTTTTCAGCTTTTTAAAGGCCCCAGTCTTCCAAACCTGTTCAAGAAAAGCAAAGACAGCGACCACGAAGGCTCCTCCACCGGGGCAGAAGAGGAAACTTCCTTCGGTTCTGAGTACTCAGGAGGAAAGAGAGTAAGTAGAAGTTGATGATAAGAGTAACTAAAAAATCCCCAACTGACATCCTTTGACGAATATCGCTGGTGATTTTAATCTTTTCGGTCACTTATCTCATATACAAAATCTCTTTTACGTGCATGTTCTGTACTCTAGTTTACGTAAAAGTCCTTCAGATAGTGTCTTTCTGCCATTTTAAGTATAAACTGGGAATCTACAGCCTGTATTTAACCTCCACAGGGCAGCAACAGCAGCATCAGCACCGACTGCGGCATGTTCGAGACCGTCAGCGTGGCGGGAGAGCTGGAGCTGGCTCTGGCCTACAACAGCAGCACCTCCTGTCTGGAGATCACAGTCGGCGCCTGCAGAAATCTCACCTATGGAGACCTCAAGAGGAAGAAGTGTCACCCGTAAGGATAATAAATATAAGCCTCTGCATTATTGTACAGTATGACCTCATTTTGTTGTCTGATTCTCCATCAAAACCTCAGCATCCTCCATGTGTTATTTCTTCGCGTAGATACGTCAAACTCTACGTGCTGCCGGAAAAGAGTGGCAAAATGAAGACGGCAGTCAAGAAAAACACGACTGATCCGGTTTATAATGAAGTTTTAAAGGTAAAGAGAAAGCGTTTTCAACAATTAATTTAGTGTCATATGATGCTTGATCGGGACAAATTAAATGAAGTTCTGTGTTTGGGTTTCGACAGTTTCACATAGAGCGCCACCTGCTGTTTGGAAAGAGACTGCAGGCCTCTGTGTGGCATTCAGGGACCCTGAAAAGGAAGACGTTTCTCGGCGAGGTCCTTATCCCGCTGGACGGCTGGAGGTTTGAGGACAAGGCCTCCCAGTGCTTCAACTGCTACCCACTTTGTCCGAAGGTAAAACAGAGCAGAGGAAGGTTCAGATATTCAGCTGTGATGTTATAAATTAAAACTGTAAACATTCTGCTACTCCCTGTAACTACAAACTGTAGTTTTTACACTTTTTTGTACAAATTAAACCAACAAGACATAATATAAATATATTTAAAGGGTTAGAAGTTTTGAAGGGGCTGGTTGGAGGATTTTAATACATGATTTTATCTTACAAATGTATCATACATTACATTTTTTAAATAAAAACAGCTGGAATAAAGTACAAACTGCAATAAACTCATAACATTAAGAGTTTAAAAAACAACATATAGTATAATACTATAATTTTATGATTATGTTTTATAGGTTGTTTGTATTTATTCATATGATGTATATATTATTATTTATATAAAGTATATATTAATTTTCCTGTTTTCTAGTATAATTTGTATTAAATACTATCATTATCCTTGTTTTTTATTGTAATTTTTATCATTAAATTTTATTTTAAAATCTACCTTATTTAATTTTTACTACATTCTGTCTTATTATCGTCAGGTCAATGTCTGTTAAACACTTGGAACGGCACTAAACTGTATGAAATGTGCTACATAAAAACAGTTTGATTGATTGATTGATTGATTGATTGATTGATTGATTGATTGATTGATTGATCCTTGTATTTCC